AAGTAACTAGATAAGAACGTTTGGGCTGTGAGTGTGTGCAGTTTACATTGTAGAACAAAACATAAAAGTATCAAGTTGTTTACCACAGGCTTTATTTTACTCATTAATTGAAAAAAACCCATTATAAAACCCCATAGGAAAATCTTGAAGGAACCCGCGGCGAATTAACACTTCTGGATTCTGACATCCCCCACTCCATTACTAAGTGACAGATGAATTTGGGAAAAATAGTTTAATTTGATTTGTCAGCAACAAAAGACTTTTGAGGCATTTTCCTATTCTTATTAAATGTTAATAAGCATATCTGCTTTGCTGTTCTATAGTATTTTTTTTTTCCACACTTAACTCAGAATTCATACGTTTTTGTTGTGATTTAACAGAGAATCACTGATATGAAAAATACAGGAATTGCTAAGGCACTGAAGCAGGAACAGCTTGACTTACCCAGCATGCTAGAGAGCCAGAGTGCCAGGTCTTCCTTCATGGGCAGCAAACTGGCCTCATGTCTACTGGCCAGCCACTGACTGTACTGCTGCAGATCTGTGAGGCCCGGACCAGCCGGCTGCTGCTTTCCGCTCAGAGGACTGAACATGCTTCTGAAAACAAAGAGGAATATCTACATCAGTACAACTAAATAACATTAACTCAATCATTCGGCTTTGACCAAATCCCTCAAATGAATTATTTCACTTTCCCACAGAGCACAGATGTCATCTGATCATTCAAGCCCTTTCTGTTGTTTCACAGTAGACTCTTATCCTCTATACCGATCTTCTCATCACAGTCCAGCTCCAGGCTCTATCTTCTCTGTCCTGTGATATAATACTCACTCGCTTTTTTTAAGACAGAACAGACACACACTGTGTGGCTTCTCTCCAGTCCTGCCCTAGTGCGATTCTTTTCTGACCCAAAGGCTCTTTACACAAATGAACATGCTCTTCCCAATGAAACACCAGAATCAGTTGCAATTTCACAATTAGATAATTCAGATTACATTTTCTGAAGAAAATGTGTTTTAGAAAATGTGAGAGTATATATATATATATATATATATATATATACATTTTTTTTTTTTCGGTGTTTTACTAAAAACAACAGTCTTTAAGATTACGACTTCATCTGCAAAGAGGAATAGTGGGTGAAAACTGAAAGTGAATGATAGGGACTGTCGAATACTAAGAAGGATTGTGACCAAACAACACAGAACTACTGCAGCAAAAGTGACAGCAAACCTCAATATTCACCTTAAAGACCCTGTTTCCACAAACACCAAACACAGAGAACTTCACAAAGCCAGCATCCATGAAAGAACTGAGAACACCAATGCTAAAATGTGAAAAACAAATGGTGTCATGATCATAAAACCTGGGCAGCTGGAGCACCAAGATGAACTTCAACATCTGCCCTGGCCAGACAAATCACCTGACAATCACCTTTGCTATATATAGCAAAACTTTGAAATATCGGTTTTACAATTGATGCAGGAGTTACACACACACCAATGTTTAGTATGGTTATCAGGTTGTCCAGTTCAACAAATCCTCAAATTTGTCTCTTTATAAAAGGAGTATTTCTTGTTTCTCTGAGGCAGTTATATTTCTCTGTAACAACCTGATGCTATTTGCAGAAGAATGTGTACGGATCCAGTTGAATACGTTTCAGTGCTCTGCGTAAACTCTGACGAAGGCAGTGTAAGAATTCTCATGTAATTCTAGTGAATCCTGCTGATCAGACGAGTTAATCTGGTTCTTCTGAATGTATAACATCTTTCAGAAAAACGTGTTACTTCATATCATTGCTGTTTGAAGTTTTGTTCAAGAGTTAGGATGTGTTAAATGTGGTGGCAGGGGTTCGGGTGTAGTACAAATGCAGAAATGCGGTGATAATATGTGATGCCAGCCAGCATTGCGAGGGATTTCGCCTTACTCATAATTCATGTGAGAAACAAGAGGAAAGTTATGAGTTCTGAGAAGTGTAACAATCTTCAGCGATGCAGAACAGGACCTCTTCCTAAGTTTTGCTCTCCTGTATCCCACTAAGCAACCTGGGAATGAGGACTCGGGTCCAACAATCGTCACTTTGTTGCGGTGGGCTCTGAATGGCTGGCAGGCGAAGGCGAACTGAAAGTCAATCTGTATATTTTCCTTGTTCCACAAAATAGAACGCCAGAGTTCACTTTACCTGCCAAACGTCTATCAGATAAAGGCAAATCTCCTCTTTCGTTCTCTTTCTGAAAGAGCTCCTGTGCTGGAAAGAGAGAAAAAGAAACCAGAGAAATAAAAGAGGTGTTACTGACTCTCTAAACAATAAAAAGAGGACATACTGTCCCATATGGGCAAAGGCAAGGTGAACAGCAGTCCACTAATCATATCAGAGCTGTCTGTCTGCTCTTAATATTTCCCAGACTGATTCGGAGATGAGTGAGAAAGCTGATACCACGTGAGACTGACCCTATCAGTGGTGCCTGCATCTTTATTATTTTTCTAAGCAAACAGATCTGGCAGACAATAAAATGGATGAGATAAATTCAGTACAGTAACATCGAAGGAGGGAGCCAAGAAATATCTAGAGACCAGAATATCACAGGAACTTAAGAGTGGGCTATTTTAACTTAGTGAGCAACCACCAAGAAACCTCCCAGAACCTCCAAACAAAACCTATGGAGCACTCTAGCCCTAGAAAACATCCTGCATGCTCAAAAAAAAAAATGTATGAAAGTTGATTCTGGGGCGGTACCCTATAGAAAAGGTACTAATATGTACCATTTAAGTACTAGTATGTATACTAAGGGTACTTATATGTAGCCTTAAGGTATTAATATGCACCCTTTAGGTGTAAATAAGGTACAAAGGTAAAACTTATAATTTCTGACTTTTAATTTATTTATTTTTTAACATAAAAATTTTAGTAATAGAACCATTTTTAGTATAATAAAGAAAAAATCCTCATTAAAAGAACAGAACTCTTGTTTGCAGTTTGGCATAATCTTAGAAAAACTATTTTGCCCAAAAAATTTCTAACAAATTTTTTTTAAAATGTATATATTTTGAGTCAAATATATGAATAATATTTTTCGGATTTTTATGATAAGGAATGGTTAGTAAAATGTCTCCTTAAAACATAATATTTAATAATTAATAATGAAAATATTTACTTGTAAAAAAAATATTTTATAAAAATACAAATATTTATCTTGAAATATATAATACAAATCATAATTAAAATTATTAGATGCAGAGGATAAGCAGTTTGAATAATAGATGGATTAAACATATTTATTTTTATTAAAATCATATCTAACAAACATGTATGTCTTTATCATGATCTGTCCTATTTGCCACTGACCATTAACTCAGAACACTGTACTGATACTGTGGCATCTGGTTTTATGGACAAATACCACTCAGATTTTCTACCAAGTGGCTTAAAATAAATAAATAAATACAATAATCTACACATCTGCATGATGGAGCATGGACTGGAAACCGATGCTCGGCAAACACAAACCCGCAGAGTTCACAGATGGAGAGGACATTTACAGTGCATTCAACACCACACACATATTGGGCACATATGGTTGAAACCAAAGGGCAGTGTACAGTGTGACACAGTCAAACCTTTAGCTGGGACTATTATATTAAGCAACATCATATTCTTTCACAGTCAATATTTTTCTAGCAAACATTTGCGACAGTGGAGTGATACTGTATAAAGGCAATAGGTGTTTCCCATACGTTGCGTGTATTTCCCATCCATAAACCATAAACGTTGACCTTGACTAATGCAGAAATTATAACTGATAATACTTCAGCTTGCATATCTGATTCTGTTGCAGTTATTTGAGCCTCAATGCTGTGTCATGTTCAACAAGCACAGAACACACATTGTATTCTGTCCTTAAAGAAGGTAAATCACACAAACAGGACTTAATAAGTGTCAATGCAGTCATCATCTACATCTTTATACAAAATATATCACATTAGCTAAATACAACATGAGTTTTGTCATTTTGCATGCAAGTTCAGTTCAAAGTATATTTCCTTTCCTAGTTAAGCAAAGATTTAGTCTAGTTGCTTGCACAATCCAGTTACTTCATTTTTCATATGTCACACTGGCTTTAATCATGTTTACAGGCTATTACACACTTTAACTGTTAGTTTTAAATGCACAATAACCAATTTTACTGAGGCAGCTCAATACCTTCTGCAGCCTAATGGCAAAAAAAAAAAAAAAAAAATGAGGAACAGAACCAGCAATATCTTATAAACATGCGTTTCCCACAGACTTACATTCTATGTATGGCGGCAATCTTATTTTATTAAGATATCTAACTATCTATCCAAGCAAAAACATTTTCTTTCCCAAAAGTATACACTTACCCTCCACAATGCACTGCCTGCAGTTGGTTCTTCAACAGTAGACGCTCGTTTCCAATGAATTCATGCTTTTCTCGCGCACAGGCTCCTCAGACTGTTGTTCACCGTGACACTGAGCCTCAAAGATCCGTCTGTCATTGCGGGTCTCAGTTCAAAGTGCGCTCCTGCGACAGACACATTGCGCGATCTCACCGCCTCCCTGAGAGACGCGACGCGACGCGTCTTTATCTGCGCGACTGTGAGCCACACGGAGCTGCACGAGACCAGACGATTAAAACGAGCCTCGTAGAGAAAAGATTCTTAACTGACCGGGAAAAAAAAATCAAGTGTAATAAAAACTTCAACAGAAAAAGAAAAATCATAGTAGAGATAAAAAGTAAAAGAAACGGTAAAATAGGCTACAAAACTTGATTTCACTAAAAAGCACTTTCATTTGTAAAATGAGACTCTATTGTAAGTTTCAACATGCGTTGGAATAAGCTATTTCGATCAAAGTATTGCTATAGCTCGTTTTGCGTAAAAAATTTTTTTTAAAATAATAACAATAATAATGTAACTAAACTTGGGTTAAAGGCAAATTTGACTTTTATTTTGAAATACTGCCACGGAAGTTCGGTACCGCGAAAAAAAGTGACGTCGTGCACGCTCTCAGCCAATAGCGAGTCGAGAACGAGGCACGCGGACAGAATCCGAAGTTGATTCCGTGCGCTTGTTGATTTTGTTCATGTATTGTTTAGTTAAATACGGTGAAGACAGCGTCTAATGGAGGCTGTGCTGAGACAGCTGACCAACATACTGGAGTTACTGGCCGTGTCTCAGACGGACCGCGTGAGGGAATGGGACCGTCACACCGCGCACCGGGCGTTTCAGTGGGCTGAGTACTGCGAGCAGCTGCACTCCCGCTTCCAGTCCAACCCTGCGGTCCGCTCCGCGCTGGAGTCCGGTCTGAATGACACCAACCAGCGCCTGCAGCAAGCTCTGCCGTCGTACTCTCCAGTCATGTTCTCTGAACTGGCTCAGTGTCAGCACATGCTGCTCATTCATTTACTCAGAAACCCTTCCGCGCCGAACTCCGTTATCCGAATGCTTTTTGCTGCACAGGAATCCCCGTTTGATCAGAACAGCCTCATTACGTGTAAATCAGCTTTTAATCTGTTGTGCCGCACGCCGGACAGGACTAGTTCTGCTGGGTTACAGGTTGAAGCAGTGGTCAGAGGCACACTGCTCGGGCAGCTCTTGAGCTCTGTACTGAGTCGCTCTGGTAATGATGAGTATGCGAGAACACTGCTGGATTCCATCCTTCACGACAGCGCGGGAAAACCGGAAAGCCTTTATGACGTCATAGCAGCTGCGCTCCTCTCCCCTGATGACGAAACGAGCTCCGTCACTCAGCGCTGTGTCCTCGCCTGGCTGCAGGAGCACGAGGGGTGTTTGACCAAACTGTGCACATCTCTCTCCCCCGGGCTTTGTACCGTCCTCTCCCGACAGTCTAGCGAGTTTAAACAGGCATATTGGGGTGTTTTGAAACAGTGGGCGTCCTGCTTGGAGTTTGACGTCTTGGAGAGTCTATGGGTGCCGACATCAGATGAGCCTGTCACCTTTCTAATACTGACCGATCGATTCAAAGATTTATTAGATTCAGGGCCACCATTAAAAGAGGAGACAGAAACTGAACTCAGAACACTCAAACGAGAAGCTGGAGACTTCAGTGTAAAAGGCATTTGTATATGGAGTGATGTAATCATTCAGCTAAAGCTGTAAATACATCAGAATGAAAGTTAATTCAAGGCTATTAGTTATTTAATTTGATGTTAATTTAACTAATGAAAATATGTGTTTGAGGATAGAAGTGTGCATTTTTTCCACACGTTTTATAATTATAAAATTATATATAATTTTTTTTCGTTTTGTCGATTTTGTTTTGTAATAATTTTATTGTTGTTTTTATGATAAGAGCCATCATAATACCAATTTTATTTCTCCGTATATTTTGTTGTTTTTCATAATTGTAATTTCTAAACATTATTTTGTTCCTCAGAATTGGGAAAAACACACAGAAGGAAAAAGCACCCTCTGCTTCAGTCTCCCGGCAGACAGGGGGCGACAGTGCTCTTTACACCATCAGCCGTGTACTTTATTTGAGGGCTACTTGTGGTATTTTATTTACAGCTGAATAATTAATAAAGTTCTTAAACAGTGTTACTGTTATCATGTTTGAAGTTTCTGTGTATCCTGGGGAACTATTTCATTCGAGTACATCAGTGATGTTCTGCCTATGGATAATGGATAATACAGAAACAGTCTTCCTCAGCCATAGGAAGCCTAAAATATCAGGAAATTTAGTTTATAGTGAATATATATATATATATATATATATATATGCACACACACATACATATATATATATATATATAATGTATATTAGTTTATATAAAACAAATCTTAAGATAAAATGTTCTTTGTAAGCAAAACGTCATAGGTATTTACTGGTCAAAAACTGGAAACTTAAAAAAATAATAATAAAAAAAACAGCAGTTGTCCAATACAATGCACAGTAGGCTTATTCTGTATTGTAAAATAAATAAAAAATACACTCCTTCATTAATGAGAAATGCTGCACTGAATAGGCTGCATGACAGATGGTGGCATCACTGTCACCGTGGCAACCGTTGGCATTAAGCACAGGATTCCATTTGCAATAGAAGGAAGAGGCCGGGCAGAGAACGCGTGCGCCTCTTAAATTGGTCCCCGGGGACACGCAGACGCGTGCTTCATGGGCTGGGTTTCATATGTCTGTCACATTAAGGAGGAGGAGAAAGAGATCAGGAATCTGCATGGGCTGGGGTCACTCCACGTTCAGTGATTTATGAGGTCACTTGAGGTTGTCGAACCCCTCATTGAAGCCTCACTGCTAATGACTTCATCTGAAATCTCAACAGCATCGTGCTATTCGGTGATGCTTTAAAATAGGACCCCATTTCCTGTTCCAATAGGTCCTGTGCTCTTAATAAACACAGAATCAGGCGGTCTAATGTCTAAATGGATTTTACATCCTGTGACAAGCAGTCTTTATGAAGAATTCATATCTCATCAGTTACAAGTTTTAGGTTGTTTTGGGGCCTGAAATGGTTCCAGTATTGATATAAATCTGTTTTCTCTACATTGCTTGAGGATGTGTTATGTTTTGCCTAACATGTACACTTATATGTACAGCTAATATGTAAATGGCGTTTAAGGAAAGATTTTGAAAGGCTAGGCTAAACATTTTTAATTAGTGAGCAAAAACCAAAAAGTGCTGTTATCCCCGCTCTCAACAGAAACTGCAGACACTTCAAAGTAGTTTCTCTCTGTTCTGATGCTCGAGAGATGCTGTGCTTTCTCTAACAACAGACAAATAGATCTTCATTTTTGTTCTGGTCCCTGTCTCCTTGGAAACAAAGAAAATGCATTTTCTCAGCTCAGATATGTACTGAGAAAGCAGCAGGGCAATGCTGAGAAAACAACCGTTTCCACGGTGAATAATCACAGGCCAGATTTCCTCCCTAATGCAGCAATTCATTATGGACTTCTTTTTGAAATGGGGGGGAAAATATTGACGTCATTATTCAGCCATAATACAGATATTTCCCCGTCTCTCGTTTGTGGAGAGTCGTTCTGCAGGAATGTCTTTGAAGTATGATGCAAATTAATTACTCGTACACTCGTTATTTTATTCACCTTCTCATGGTTGTGCTCATCCCCCATGCATTTAAATTTAACATACACATAATTACAATATTACATTTAAAGACCCCAAATGTTTGATGAGTGCTATGTTATACTGAAGCTAAAATTTTGGACTGGGCGTATCGACAGGGCAAATGGTTTTTGGTTTTATGTAACAGCCACGAACCATGATTTATAGTGTAGTGCAAGATGTTGTCATTATTATTTGTTAGAAAGACTGTACATTTGGAATGTGTACATCTGCAAAAGTTACCTTTTTTGGAGTACACTAGCATATAGATTTCTTCAACAGACATACAATAAACCACAAACCCTTAATTTTGATATTATGAGGTCCTTAAAGTTCTTACATTGTTTCAGTGGACTGTGTCAGTTGATTGGCTCATAAAGTCATGTGATCTGTATTTTTGTTGGATTTACAGTAGTTTTGACTGCTAAACTAATGCACCAGCACCACATTATAACACAATCTGCACACTCAAAGACACTTATTAAATGGCTTCTAAATAACCAATATATTACCAAGTAAATTACTAAATTAATAAAACACAGAGATTAAAGAAAAACACATGTTTTCCACATATAAAGACACACCTTTATTATCCGTAGTCCCTATAGACGTGGTGAGCTGGTGTGAGTGTGTTGGGGGCGGGGTGTTGACAGCACCAATGAGGACATGGTTTGTTAAACATGTGATGAAAAGCGCAGCTTGAAGAGCCTGCAGACAGATGAAGGATACTGCTTTTTAGAAAGAAGCAGAGCAGATGAATACTGAAGGGCAAACATTGATATTCCTTTGTCACTTGTTCCCATTGTACACCTATAATGTCTTAAACTGAGCTCAAAAAGTATTTTACACCTACTAATATTTAAACAAAGGTATATTCAGTCTTTTTTTTCTTATTAAAGCATCTGACAGATACAGAAATTAACATCTCCCTAACCTCTTTCACATTGAAAATCTACAACCTGTAGATCAGAAATGTGTCTTCATCTGACTTGCAGATGTCACTGAAGTTATAACGTGTATAGCATTTGTTTTGTGAGTAATAGCAGAGGTTCCAGACAAACTGCCTTTGGTTTAATTAGCACTTGCTCTGTTTGTAATATCTGCTGATCAGTTGTTCGCACCTCCATCACTCATGTGTTCTCACTTCTGCACAAGTGCATAGAGAGGAAGTGAAAAAAAATGAAAGTGAGAGCACTATTTATCCTGTTCTGAGACTTATCCCAGCCTAAATTCACTGAGGTACACTCTTAAAAATAAAGGTTCTTTATTGGCATCGATTGTTCCACGAAGAACCTTTAACATCTATGGAAACTTTCCGTTCCACAAAAGGTTCTTTGTGGTGTAAGGTTCTTTATTAAAATGTCCTTCACACTGAAAACACTTTCAAGAACTCTTTACTGAAAGGTTCTTAGGGGAACCAAATAGAGACGTTTGACTCATACTCAGTATTTGAGAACACAGTGCCTAATGTGTGACAGTAATGTGTCATAGACCCACTTTCATTCCACTGCTTGAATGTCTGTGAATGTTAAGGATGCATTGTTTCTTGGTGTAGACATGATTTGCTCTCCTCTGTTGTAACAGCAGTTCAGAACAGCTCCCAATCTTTTGTTATATTGCCTGGTTTCTTCAGCGGGCGTGATGCCGTACAACACTCTCGACAGCTCTGCTGATAAATAACTATATAAATAGATCTCCACATGGACCAGAGTGTGTGTTCACAGAAGCTGCTGTTAGTGAGAATGTGTGAGGTTTGGCAGGAGTATTTGCCACACAGTCTGGGGTAATGAATCCAGGATGTGGGTCAGGTTCTGCAGTACAGTAATATAGTGGTAGCTTAGTGGTTAAATGTCAGGGCTGGATGAACTCTGTAGTTTAGGGTTCCTCAAATCCATCCCAGAGGACCAGTGTCCTTCAGAGTACCCCAATCGCTGTTACATTTCAAAAAGCATTGGCATAGTTGTTCCAGTGTCCATTTTGAACAAGGGTGACCATTCCTGCTCCTGGAGGGACAATGTCCTGCAAAGTTTAGCTCCAACCAGTTCCAACACACTTGCCTGGAAGTTTCTAGTAATTCTGAAGACCATGATTAGCTGGTTCAGGTGTGTTTATTTAGGATTGGGGCTAAATTCTGCAGTTTACTTGCCCTCCAGGAGTAGGAGTGGACACCCCGTTGTAAAATAACAAAGCCAAGTAGACACTGAGACACTTGGAAGTGATAAACATATTAAAACCTCTAAATCAGGGGTGCCCAATCCTGTTCCTGGAAGATCTACGTTCCTTCAAAGTTAAGCTCAAACCCTAATCAAACACACATGCACCAACTAAAGATTTTCAGGAACACTTGATAATTAGACAGGTTTGTTGGAGCAGGGTTTGCACTGAACTCTGCAGGAAGGTAGATCTCCAGGAACAGGATTAGGCACCCCTGCTCCAAATGATAAAAATGAAATTTAGCACAGGTGGAGCATGTTCAGCTTAAATAGCACAATGGTAAATATCTATACAGTCAACTTAGGCTGGCCGCACACTAGACCATTTTAAGGCCGATTTTAAGGCCGATTTGCACCATTGGGGGAGGGGGGCCGATTCGCGGCTTGTCGCAAACGATTTTTTGTCCAAAAAATCCACTATTGTGTGGTGTCATTATGATTATTTATCTGCTCCCGACATGTTTGATATTTACGACTCTTGGGGCACGTTCAAGCCCAAACCGGTGCGTAACGTTTTGCTACGGTTTCCGGTTTGAACGACATGTTTCCTGGAAACGGTGTGCAACAGGGTTTGAGATACGTTTTCTCTTGTTTGGTGGGTGTGTCAAAAATGTCAGCCCAATCAGCAGCAAG